TCTATTGGTGTTTGTTGTTGTTCTCTCCAGCTTTCTTGGTGCATGTACGAGTTGTTCTCATGTGGGTATCTCTGTATCTCTGTATCAGTATTTAATTTTACACTGATGAGTACTTTCTGTGGGTGTATCTGTAGCTGTTTCTGAATTGGTAGGTAGCACATCTTTGGGTTCCATGAGATCTGTTAAGGTGGACACCATCTGTATGAAGGTGATTGAGACCTATGTTGTTCATGGTGATTCTGTGTATATTAGCATCACTGTACTGTAATGATTGGTTTAGTTGTTTCATAGTGGTCAGTTTGTCTTCTTTCCATGATTTCCTGGGAAATACTTCACAGCGATATAACACAATGTTTGGTAGGGCATGTTGTATGACTTTTACCATATCTGTGTATTTTGTAGTTAATGTCTTGCTATCCATGCCATTGTCGATATTATTTCCAGCAATGTTTATGGTGAGAGTCTTTAGTGTAGATGGACATCTATTGTTGATAATGACTTTCTCCATACTATTGATGGTAGCATCACTGTATGTCAAAATCATCTGGTTTCTTGCCATGCTGTAGTTACGGATTTGTGATGATTGTGAGTCGCTGAGTATTGCATGTTCTACTCCGTATGGCAGTTTACGTTGATTATTATTTTTATTTATTATATTTATTTATTTGACACCAATGTGTGATCTTTCTCTGTTTTGTTTGGCGATTGTAATGGACGTACTAATGTCGTACTAATAATGGAATTTTCTGGTTGAGCTGATTTATGAGTTACTAAGCTGGTGTCACTGTAGTTTTTATGCGATGTTTGTGCAGGATGAATAACTTCAGTTTTCTTGTCATCAGTGTTTATATTCTTTGCGTCTTTGTCATCTTTGGACTTAATTTTCTGTAGTTGTTTCTCTACTTCACTGATTTTTTTTGCATTTCTTTGATAGCCTCTTCACTTGCATTGTTCTGTTTGGCTTGTTTGTCTATTTCTGTTCTTAGTCCATTTATTTCAATGTCTTTTAGTTTAATTACATTTTGGTCTGTGTCTGTTCTATTATTAGAGTATTATTTTCAATAGTTACGCTGTTAATCTTCAATTGCATTCTTTCTATCACATTGTCTTTTTCTTTGGGATGTTGCTTTAATACTGAATTTCTTTGTTTTTTGTTTTTAGTTCTTTCTATAGAATTCTTACATCTGTTGGGTCTTTGTTTATATTAACAATTTATCAATTATTTTATTGTATCTTTCTGTCAACTTTGCCTCCATAGATATGAAAAGGAACATCTGTTTTGTGTACATCTCTTCCACCATTTCTATAATTTTATCACTTTCTATGATTGGTATTTTAATTTTTTCTTTTGTGAGGTAGTAGAGCCATCTGCTTTAACTTTTACTGGAATTCTGGTTGATTTTACTTGGAGTGCATGTTATTTTATTTGTGTTTGGTTTTGGTTGATTATGAGAAAATTGTCCATTTCCTCCTTCTGTTTCATCCGAGTCATCAGTGTCATCTCTGTATCTAACAGGTTTCATTGTGATTCTTCTTAAGTTTCTTCTTGGTTCTTCTGATTTTTTTTTGATGTTGATTTGGAGTTGTATTTGTTGTTGTATTATGTTTAGAAGTATGGCCCCTTCACTCATGGTCCATTGGTTGTATGAGTTGTATGAAATCTAGGAGATTCGTAAATAGTAGTCCAGCTAGAGGCTTTGAACATTCACGGAACCATTCTAAGTAAGATAAATCTTGTAGCCATTGAGTAGATGGTAATTTTGGTATATTTTGTTGGAGCTCACACTGACACAGCTCTTACAGGAAGTCAGCCATATAGTATGTATATATAATCAGACATTACATCACGGCGTTGTATAGATAATCAGACATTAGATCACGTGTTGCATAGATAATCAAACATTAGATCCTTACGTTACATAGATAATCAAACATTAGATTCTTGCTATGCATAGATAATCAGACATTAGATTCTTGCTATGCATAGATAATCAGACATTAGATCACGGCGTTGCATAGATAATCAGACATTAGATCACGGCGTTGCATAGATAATCACACATTAGATCACGGTATTGCACAGATAATGATGCATTAGATCACGTGTTGCATATATAATCAGTCATTAGAACACGGCGTTGCATAGATAATTAGACATTAGAACACGGCGTTGCATAGATAATCAGACATTAGAACACGGCGTTGCATAGAAAATCAGATATTAGATCCATACGATGCATACATAATCAGACATTGGATCACGGCGTTGCATATATAATCAGATATTGGATCACGACGTTGCATATATATGGTACATTAGATCACGTGTTGCATAGATAATCAAACATTAGATTCTTGCGTTGCATAGGTACTCAGACATTAGATCACGGCATTGCATAGATAATCAGACATTAGATCACGGCGATGCATAGATAATTAGACATTAAATCATGGCGTTCATAGATAATGATCCTTTGATGCATATATAATCAGACATTAGATCACTGCGTTTCATGGATAATTAGACATTAGAACACGGCGTTGCAAAGGTAATCAGACATTAGTTCACGGCGATACATAGATAATCAGACATTAGATCACAGCATTACATAAATAATCTGACAGATCATGGCGTTGCAAAGATAATAAGAAATTAGAACACAATGTTGCATAGATAATCAGACATTAGATCACAGCATTACATAGATAATATGACATTAGATCATGGAGTTGCAAAGATAATAAGACATTAGATCACAATGTTGCATAGATAATCAGACATTAGATCACGGCGTTGCATATGTTAATCATACATTAGATCCTTGCGATGCATAGAAATTCAGACATTAGATCATGGCGTTGCATAGATAATCAGACATTAGATCACAGCATTACATAGATAATCAGACATTAGATCACAACATTACATAGAAAATCAGACATTAGATCACAATGTTGCATAGATAATCAGACATTAAATCACGGCGTTGCATAGATAATTATCAGACATTAGATCACAGCATTACATAAATATCCAGACATTTGATCACGGCGATATATAGATAATCAGACATTATATCAGGCGTTGCATAGATGATCAGACATTATATCACAATGTTGCATAGATAATCAGACATTAGATCACAGCATTACATAGATAATCTGACATTAGATCATGGCGTTGCATAGATAATAAGAAATTAGATCACGGCGTTGCATAGATAATGAGAAATTAGATCACAATGTTGCATATATAATCAGACATTAGATCACGGCATTGTATATTTAATCAGACATTAGATTCTTGCGATGCATAGAAATTCAGACATTAGATCATGACGTTGCATAGATAATCAGAAATTAGATCACAGCATTACATAGATGATCAGACATTAGATCACAATGTTGCATAGATAATAAGTCATTAGATCACAGCATTACATAGATAATCTGACATTAGATCATGGCGTTGCATAGATAATAAGAAATTAGATCACAGCATTACATAGATGATCAGACATTAGATCACAATGTTGCATAGATAATAAGTCATTAGATCACAGCGTTGCATAGATAATCATCAAACACTAGATCACAGGGTTGCATAAATAATCAGACATTCGATTAGGAGAAGTAATACGTTGACACATTTGCTGTCTTTGCAGCTTCATGCGGAGAAGGAGAATTCAACTGCGGTCAAGCCGGTCTCTATGGCAATTGCATTCACAACAGTAAGCGATGTGACGGAGTACATCACTGTCTTGGTGGAGAAGATGAACAAGACTGCAGTGCGTAATTTTATATTATCATTGATCTCATACATCATTTCTTCATTAGCGTTATTTATGTGTTTCATCCTTATACGTATTACTTAATTTCAGTTTCTTGTACCGCTGGATTAAAGTGTGACTTCGGGATTAATAATTCGAATGGAAAGTGCATACCACGTTCTAGTGTTTGCGACCATTACCCAGACTGCCAGGACGGGGGAGATGAACAATACTGTGACTATGGTAAATTAATATTGCTTATCCCAATGAAAGCGATAAACTGAACAATATGACAACAATAACGATAACAATAAATTGAACGTCTCGAACAATGAATTATAATATTTTATAGTACTAAATGAACGACCTGTGAATTATATTATTTTCTAAAAAAGGAAATGGCGATACATGGTGTAGTATACTTTTTAAAAGAATAACTTTCACACACATGATATTCATCTCGCGGATAATAGTGTTGTTTGTACATTTATATTATTTATAGTGTTGTTTTATATTATTTGCCCTTCTATACGGATATATAGGGTATTCGACATGGTAAGATATTGTAGTCAACACGGTAGGGTAATGTATTCGACATTTATAGGATATGTAAGGTATTCGACATGGTAGGGTATTGTATTCAACATTTATAGGATATGTAAGGTATTCGAAATGGTAGGGTATTGTATTCGACATGGTAGAGTATTGTAGTCGACGCGGTAGGGTATTGTATTCGACATTTATAGGATATGTAAGGTATTCGACATGGTAGGGTATTGTAGTCGACACGGTAGGGTATTGTAGTAGACATTTACAGGATATGTAAGGTATTCGACATGGTAGGGTATTGTATTCGACATGGTAGAGTATTGTAGTCGACGCGGTAGGGTATTGTATTCAACATTTATAGGATATGTAAGGTATTCGACATGGTAGGGTATAGTATTCGACATTTATAGGATATGTAAGGTATTCGACATGGTAGGGTATATAGGATATGTAAGGTATTCGACATGGTAGGGTATCGTATTCGACATTTATAGGTTATGTAGGGTATTCGACATAGTAGGGTATAGTATTCGACATTTATAGGATATGTAAGGTATTCGACATGGTAGGGTATTGTATTCGACATTTACAGGATATGTAAGGTATTCGACATGGTGGTATATTGTATTCGACATGGTAGGGTATAGTATTCTACATTTATAGGATATGTAAGGTATTCGACATGGTAGGGTATAGTATTCGACAATTATAGTATATGTAGGGTATTCAACATGGTAGGATATTGTATTCGACACGGTAGGGTATAGTATTCGACAATTATAGTATATGTAGGGTATTCAACATGGTAGGATATTGTATTCGACACGATAGGGTATAGTATTCGACATTTATAGGATATGTAAGGTATTCGACATGATAGGGTATAGTATTCGACATGGTAGGATATTGTATTCGACGTGGTAGGGTATTGTAGACGACGTGATATGATATTGTATTCGAGAGTTATAGGATGTGTAAGGTATTTGACATGGTTGGATATTGTATTCGACATTTATAGAATATGTAAGGTATTCGACATGGTAGGGTATAGTATTCGACATGGTAGGATATTGTATTTGACATAGTAGGATATTGTATTCGACATCGTAGGGTATTGTATTCGACATCGTAGGGTATTGTATTCGACACGGTAGGGTATAGTATTCGACATTTATGGGATATGTAAGGTATTCGACATGGCAGGGTATTGTATTCGACATTTATAGGATATGTACGGTATACAACATGGCAGGGTATTCTATTCGACAGGCCTGGGTTGGGTATACTTTCGACATTTATAGGATATGTAAGGTATTCGACATGGCAGGGTATTGTATTCGACAGGCCTGGGTTGGGTATAGTATTCGACAATTATAGGATATGTAGGATATACGACATGGTTGGGTATTCAATTCGACATGCCTGGGTTGGTTATACTTTCGACATTTA